ACACTTTTAAAATTGCATGTTCTAATAACTATAATCAAATAGTATCATCTTTTTATACAAAGGACAGCAATAGTCTTTTCATTGATACAATCCAGAAATAAGAAAGGAATATGAACAGTGGATTTGATAGGATTGGGGAAGAATCTATAGCAACTCTATTTCTGTAATTTGTGAATAAAATATTAGCTCTTGACTTTTTAATAGACAAATCTGCAACTTCTGATCAGAAGTGATTGCATATTTTCTGAGAATATCTCAGAATACAGGTCACATCTCTTTTAATTTTGAGCTTCTTCCTTTCCCCAAACCCCAGTAACTGCCCTATACATTTTTGAAAATACTAAAGTATTATGTTATAGACAAACTAGTAACAAAATTCATAGAATGGCAAAAAGGGCAAGAACCTCAAGGGAAATCATGAAAAAAGGTAGGAATGAAGGAGGCCTAGTAGTACCTGCTCCAAAGAAGTAATTCTCAAAACAATTTGGTATTGCTTAAAAAACAAAGATTGAACAATGGAACAGATTAGGTATAAAACATATAGAAACAAAGCCTATTATTATCTGATAAACCCAAAGGCCCTAGCTACTAGAAAGACTCACTAGTCTATAAAAATTACCGATAAAATTAGACAATAGTATGAAAAAAATAGATTTGCAACAATACCTCTTATGCTAAGATAAGCTCCAAGTGGTTATGTGAACTAAATATAAAAGATCATATCATGAACAAATTAGAAGAACAAGGAGAAAAATTACCAGTCACAACTATGGATAGAGGGAAAGTTCATGACCAATTAAGGGATAGAGAGGATCACAGAAAATAAAACAGGTAATTTTGATTACATAAAATTTAAAAGTTTTTGCATAAACAAATTCAATAAAACTAAAATTAAAAGTGAAACAACTGATGAAAGATTTTTGTAGTGAGTTTCTCTGACAAAGGCCTAATTTCCAAGTTATATAAGGAATTGATCCAAATTTATAAGAAAAATAACCATTCCCCAATTGGTAAAAAATGGTCTAAGGATATGAAAGGGCAGTTCTCAAGGTAAGTAAGCCAGACTATCTCAATTCATACAAAAATAATGCTCCAAATCTCTACTAATTAGGGAAATGCATATTAGAGCCAATTCCGAGATTTTTTCCTTATAACATTCAGACTGGCAAAGATGACAGAAAGTGAAAATGACAAATGTTGGAGGAGCTATGGGAAAACAGGCACTGACTGATGCACTGTTGGTGGAAATATGAATGGGCCCAGTCATTCTGGAAAGGAAATTGGAATAATATACAAAAAAGTTACTAAATAGTGCTTTGACCCAGCTAGGCCACTTCTAGGTTTGTACTCCAAAGAGACTAATGAAAGAGGAAAAGATCCTAGATGTAAATATATACATATATATGTACATATACATATGTGTGTGTATGTGTGTGTATATATGTGTGTGTGTGTATATATATATACATATATATATATATATATACATATATACATATTTATGGTGGCCCAAAGCTGAAACTTAAAAAGATACACCATTAATTAGGAAATGGCAGAACAAATTAAAATCCTGTTAACAATATATACATATATGCACCTATATGCATACATATATGTATAGATATTATCAAAGCCCTTCATAACCCAGCACCCTCACCACCTTTCCAGTGTTCTTCTACTTTATACCTCCCCACTCCCCAGATAGTCTTTGATCCAGTGATGATGACCTCCTCGCTGTTCCATGAGCAAGACACTTCATCTCTCAGTTCTAGGTATTTTCACCTATACCTGGAATGCTCTCCCTCTTTTCCACCTCCTGGCTTCCCTCGCTTCCTTCAGATCTCAGTTGAAATGTCACCTTGTACAGGAAACTTTTCCTAATTCCTGTTAATTCCAATGCCTTCCTTCTTTTAATTATTTCTTGCTTATCTTACCTATAGCTTGTTTGTACATAGTTGTTTGCATGTTATCTCTCCCATTAGATTGTGAGCTCTTTGAGGGTAGAGGTGTTCTTTTGCCTTTCTTTGTATGCCCAGTGCTTAGCACAGTGCCTGGGACATATCCCTCACATTTGTCCCCTTCTCTCCACTTACAGCCCCCCCCCCCCCCCCAAGCCCCATAAACTCATACCATCTCTTGCCTGGATGATTTTAATTGCTTTTTAATTAGCCTTTCTGCCTCAAGTCTCTTCCCACTCCAATTGTTCCTCAACTCAGATGCCAAAGTGATTTTCCTAAGGCATAGATCTGACTATGTTACTACAAATAAACTCCACTGGCTCCCTATTACCTCCAGGAACAAACATGAAATGCCCTATTTGGCATTGCAAGCCCTTCACAAGTGGGTTCTTACTACTCTTCTAGTCTTCTTACTCTTTAATTCCTTCTAGGCAGGATCTTGCTAATCCATGTACTTGCTGTCCATCATCTATGGTCATTCATCTCCTGACTCTGTGTCATTGTATTAGTCATCCCTCATGCCTAAAATGTTCCCTCCTCACCTCTGCCTCCTGCCTTCCCTAGATGTGTTCAGCTCAAATCTCACCTTCTTCTCACCTTTCCCCCACCTTTCCATCTAAGATTACCTTCTGTTTACACTGTTTAAATCCTGTCTGTACATAGTTACTTACATGTTGTTCCCCTTATTAGAATATGAGCTCCTTGAGAGCAAGGGCAGTGTTCTTGCTTTCCTTTTGCTTTGTATTGCTTGACACAGTGCCTTGCATATAGTAAGAGCTTAACAAATGCTTATTGACTATTCTCTCCTAATTCTCCCTTGGGACTGCTCCTTTTTCAGGCCCTTGGCTGAATCTTTCATCTCCTGCCCTTAATCCTCTAAGGCTTGGCTCTTGACTTTTTTTTCTCTATACTTTCTCTTGTTCATCTTATTTGATCCTGCATGTTGAATTATTATTAAACTACCATCTCTGCATGTGACATACATACATACATATATCTATATCTATGTATCTATGTATGTATCTGTCTATTCCTAATCTGTTTAACTCCAGCTCCACATGACCAACCCAACTGCAGGTTGGATGGACATATCCCTTAAATGTCTCATTGGCACTTTACCCCAAATGTGACTCATCTTATACCCTCAGACTTCCCCTTCTCCAAAGTTCCCTTTTGTTGTAGAGCAGGGATTTTTTATCTTGGGTCTGTGAACTTTAAAAAAAAATTATAATTATTTATTTCAATACAGTTGGTTTCCTTTGTAATCATATGTATTTTATTTTATGCAGTTGAAACCATTGTTCTGAAAAGGTGTCCTTGATACATTAAAAATCCCTAGTTGTAGAGGGTCCCAGTTTTTCTGGTCCACAATCTTAGAGTAATTCTCAATTTTCCCTTTATCGCACCCCACCTACCCTGTCCAATCAGTTGCCAGATCAGGACTTTCTACCTTTATCCTTTTATCCATTGCCTTCTTTCCATTCTTACTGCCATCATCCTAGGTCAGGCCTTCATTACCTCTTGCTTGGGCTACTTAATTGATCGACTTCCAATCTGTGCTCCTTGTAACTTTGAAAATAATCTTTCTAAACAACTGGTCTGACTTTGCTTTCACTTCCTGCTCAAAAACTTTCAGGGGCCCTCTAGTGCCAATGTGGCAAAATGCAAACTCCTTAGCCGGATATTCAAGCCTTTTCACAGCTTGGCTCTAGCCTGCCTTTACAATCTCATTTCATATCCCTTACCTTCATACATTTTGCATTCCAGGCAAGCTAGACTACTACCTCCTCCCTAGATTTCACATTTAATCTCTTGGCTACCTGCATTTGCACAAACCATCATTCCTATATCTGAAATACTCTCCTTCCTCATCTCTGCCTGTTATATAATTCTTACTTTCTCTCAAGGCTCAGTTCAGGTTTTACTCTTGGAGCTTTCCCTGATTCCCCCAATTTTTTGGTGCTCCATTTACTTCGAATTTTACTTATTTCTGCACGTATTTGTCTTCCTAATAGAATATGAACTCACTGAGGGCAGGTACACTCATTTTAATCTTTATATCTTCAGCTTCTAGCACAGCCTAATAGTCATGCACGAGCATCATGTTTACTGAATTGAACTGAATTCTTGAATAAGACATTCACAATGTCATAAGCTTGAAGCTTTTTAGCAGTTTACAAACCTCTTCCCTCTTTCATTTCTGGATCTTAAACAATATTTTCCAACATTTTTTGCTACTCTTTTGGTCCTAAATTTGAATTTATGCCACTGAGCATCAGTTAAGTGTAGTTAATTTGGTTTGAATATCTTTTCAAGCTCTTCATACAATTCCTCTACTTTTTCCAGAAGCAATGAGAATGTTGGGTGGTCTGGAAACTGCATCCTCTGAGCTAGGGATTTTTAGTCTGAGGAAGAGGAATGAGAGGGAATAATAGCTGTCTTCAAATATTTAAAGGACTGGAAAGATGGATTAGATTAATTCTATTTGACTTCAGAAGGCAGAACTAGGACCAATCATAGTTGTAAATTAAAAGGAGACATGCTGGCTTTAACACAAGGAAGAACTTTCTAACAATGAGTCTCCAAAAATGGAAAGGATTGACTTGTAAGGTAATGAGATTCTCTTCCTGAGTTATTCAAGCAGAGACTGGATTAACACTTGTGAAGTTTGTATTAAGTGATTCTTTCATTAAGTGGTTAGTTGGACTGAATGTCTCTAAAGTGCACTTCCACTCAGATTCTGTGAACTCTTAAGTATGTGGCCTAGACCAACCAGTCTGGTTCACTTATTCTTTGTCATACTTCCCCTTTGAGTTATAGGATGTTCCACTTTTTTCTACATCTCCTGCATTCTTTGGTGGTCTCAGTTCCTCTTGTTTACCTCCCCCCCTTTGTGAAACCTTCACACTCCTTACATGGAAACAAATAGGACAGTAAACAAAGTATCCTTCCCACAAAAGGGGAACAGAGGACATTTGCTAAAACTTTTTTAGCAGTGCAAAATTAAGCAGGAAAGTGTTGTATTGAAGTTGAAATGTCCTCATGCCAGAGTAAGTGCTACAACATGGTTGTGATGGAGGTAAATAACCAGCAAAGAGGGACTTTTTGGCTCCCTGTACTTTTCCAGAAGAGCAAGCACAACCCCATAAATACAGACACTTCTCTAAAAATAGCTACCCCATGTCTGAGACCTAACAGGTGATTGGCCCAGGGACAGTAGGAATGTGGGACTCAGTGAAGGAGACTCGGAGGGCAGTGGTCTGTTTCTCAGTTTCTCTCACTGGGCAAAATGATGGCTCTGCGTTTGAGGCCCTTGAGCAGGGGACTGGCTACTGCGGCCAAGGAAGAGCATGGAGGAGCAGGAGGTGAGTCATAAGGGGCAAACATTGGCATCCTGCTCTTTACTCTCCCTTTCCCTGTCCGACCTCCCAACCTCCATTCCACTCCCAGTACCCAGGCACCCAACTCATCCCTCCTCCGAAGCGAACTCTTTGCATTTCCTGTTTGTATTTAAATCAAATGATCTTTTTCACGGCCTGGGGAAGAATGGGCTCTATTCCGTCTCCTCTGTCCCTCACTTCTGCTCTGCTCCTTTTCTTTTCTACTCTTGCCTGATTTGGTCAGCGAAAACCTGGCGTCTGCTGACCTTCGGGCTCGCTCTCCCAGCGGTGGCTGTTTGCACCCTCAACTCCTGGCTCCACTCAGGTCACCATGAACGGCCTGAGTTCATACCCTATCACCACCTCCGCATCCGTACCAAGGTATCGCAGGAGCACCTGGGTGGGGGGAGGGCGGAGATGGAGGATGGTGGAGGGACGGGTGGAGACCCCGAGGCCGGGAGGTCGGGGGAGGCGACAGCTGCTGGCAGGACTCCTGGGACTTGGGAGAGCCTAGCGAGAGCAGAGAGCACCAGGACTTTTAAAACCCCACAATTATCTGTTAATTTCTTTTTAAGATTCATTTTTTAAAATTGAGCTCCAAATTCTGGTTCTTTTCTTTCTTTCCTTTTTTTTTTTTTTTTTTTTGGTAACTCTTTTCCCACAGCCTTATTCCTGGGGTGACGGCAACCACACCTTGTTCCACAATCCCCGCATGAACGCTCTGCCCACGGGCTATGAACACCCCTGAACCCGGGCGCCCTTGAAGTTCAATAAAGACTGGCCAACCAAGGCCCCCCGTGAGAACCGCCAGCTGAACGTTTTTAAAAACTTTTCAACGCGCATGTCCAGTGTGGAGGTGGGGGGCGGGGGGAGGAGGTGAAGCTGGGGAGGAGCTGAGGAGGGCAAGCAACTCGAGACCCAAGTTCAGGAAGCTGAGGCAGAGCTTTGGAACGCGTGCCCTAAGGCTCCCCTGTCCCTCCCCCCCAATCCCCTCTTCCGGAGGCACCCCTCACCCTCTCATCTCACCAACCCAGAGCCCTGACTTTCACTCTATTGTACTTACTATGTAGGGGTACATACTGGCTTGCCTTAGATCGGGGTCAGGCCACCTAATCTCTTCAAACGAGAGAGAAATGGAAGTTTAGAAGGCATTTCCTTAGTGTTGTGAGTGCAAGCAGGTAGTATTGAAGTGTGTATGGCTTTGGGGGGCCTAGTCCTGTGATTTCATAGGATCTGGAGGAGACCCCAGAAGCCATTTAGTTAAAATTCCCTCATTTTGCAGTTGAGGATAACAGCTCAGGAAAGGTTATTGAATTGCCCTGGAGTATAACAGGCAGATTGAGAGGTGAGATCTGATGCCAAATCTCATTTAGGGTGGGGACAAGTCCTGTGACTTCCCAGCTGGCACTTTTTCTCCACTCTCACACTTCTCACTTTTCATATAGGGAACTCACAGTTTAGAAATTCCCTCCAAAGATGCAAATAGACTGTAATTTATAATCTCCCAGAATTACCTAGGGATGCTGAGAGGTTTTTGCTTGTCCAAGACCACAGAAAAGTGGCCTGTTCTCCCAGACCAGTGTCTGGGACCAGCTCTGACTGTTCTAATGGGCCTCATTGCCCCTAACTAGGTGGTGTACTATCCCCCAACCCCAACTTTTCCCCTTAAAGGCAGAATTAGGTGCCTTTACCTCTTCTGCTCTCCAACACAAAAAGAGAAAAAAACTTAATGCCTATTTTCTCTAGTAAGGAGAGAAAATTTCCATGGGTAGAAAGGTGGGAGGGCCATATTGGGTACACCACACTTGTTGATAATTACACCAACCTCTTTCTAACTGCTTCTTGGTTTATTTTCTTATTAATTCTCATCCTGAGTTCTAAGGGAATTGAAGAATATGTTCTGATAATGCCTCAAAAATCCATAGAATTTTATGCAGTCTCATATTAATTGAATAGCTGTGGGCCCCCAATTTATAAACCAACTAGAGGTAGATCTTTACCTCATGAATTTTTGCTCTTCTTTCTCAATATCAATCCTTCCCAGGGGTGGGGAACTTTTGGCCTCAAGGCCACATGCGGCCCTTTAGGTCGTCAAGTGCTGCCCTTTGATTGAATCCAAACTTCACAGAACAAATCCCTTCAGTAAAAGGATTTGTTCCAGAAAACTTGGTCTCTCTCAAAAAGCCGTACCCAAAGACCTAGAAGGCCACATGTGGTTCCCCACTCCTGTCTCTTGTCTCATAGGCCTAAATAAGAACAAATGTTACTGGAGATACAATTTAACATTGTAACAAACAATACAAAGACATACTTAAATATTTCAACAATATATCAGTTGTGAGAAAAATCTCAGCTAGAGTAACTTCTAACCATCAGTTGCAACTACTGATTTCCTCACACTGCAGTTTACTGGAACTATAATCTCATCGTTGAGCTCCTTCAGAACGGCAGTCAAAATCTTTCAAGAATTCTCTTCAGGATAACTTTTCTACAGTATGTCTTCTATACAAAATAAGAATTAAACTCACTCATCTCAAAAATGTTTCTATAGACTCTTTATCCTTGACAATTAACTTAGTCTCTCAGGAAAGAAGTTTTCTTAGTCTTTTCTCTCTGTCTGGCCATGACAGTGAACTCCTTCCAGAATGTGTTAAGCTTTAACTCTCCAACATTCTATTCTCTCTTAAAAATCATTAGAACAGGATTGATTGCCAAGCTAGAGGAGGGGGAGAGACATAAAGAGAAATTGAATAATCAGGACATCGTGGAAAAAAGGAAGAAAATGGTTTACTGCAGAAATATTGGGAAGTGGAGAAATGATGGTAACAGGGGGAAACGAGAGGTGAAGAAAAAAGAAGTTGGAAAGAAGGGATAGATGGAAAAGGCGAACAGGGATCCTTGTCAGAAAAGGTAGATAACATGGGATGCAGTGGGTAAAAGTAAGACAATCCCTGCTGTTAAAGAGCTCACATTCTACTGGAGGAGATGAAACAAACGGAAAGTTTCAGCTGTAAGTCAGATGGAAAGGTCCCACAGTGCTTAGGGTGCAGTGGCAAAGCAGATGATGCTTTTTCACTGTTATTTCCAGTCTTAATGATATAATAGCAGTAGTCTGTGTGAAAGAGACTACTTAATAGAGTTTCTTATGTACTTCCATGCACACAGAGAAACAGTTTTATTGACACAAGCAAAATTGCACACTCCTAGTGTAAGATACTTGGCACATGAAAAGAAAACACAATGGAAAGCATACATTTCCCATTCTCATTTAATATAGCAGGTAGTAATGTGGCATTAACTAACAGGGAAGCCAGAAGCTATTTGCATAGAGGGAGTTTCACGTGTGTTTCTTCCTTTGTAAAAATGGATAGACATAGGAAAATGCAAAATTTCCATTACTCATTGGGGAAAACAATAGTATGTGACAGGAAAACAAAATTACCCTGCATATTTGACATCCTTTCTGAGTTTATCCAAATGAGAATACAGTTGTATACATAGCCCTCATATGGAAAGATTGATTGACAGGAGAAAGTTACTCTAGGGTAGGCAGATCATCTGTTAAAAAGTTGGGAACCTCATTGCTGAAGTGGGCACTCTGGGTGTTTTCTGCTATCATTTCTTTGTAGTGACGTTTAAAGAAGCCAAGCTAGAGGAGGGGGAGAGACATAAAGAGAAATTGAATAATCAGGACATCGTGGAAAAAAGGAAGAAAATGGTTTACTGCAGAAATATTGGGAAGTGGAGAAATGATGGTAACAGGGGGAAACGAGAGGTGAAGAAAAAAGAAGTTGGAAAGAAGGGATAGATGGAAAAGGCGAACAGGGATCCTTGTCAGAAAAGGTAGATAACATGGGATGCAGTGGGTAATCTTACCTTGGAGAGCCCAGATGTTATGAGCACCAGCAACAGAAGTCCCCCCACTGTACTGCCAGCAATAAGAGGGATGGGGCTGTGAATTTCATATTGCTCCAGGATTGTTTCTGTCTAATTCCATGGAAGAACCCATCAAAAGAGATCAGACATCTTGCTGACAAAACCTCATTGCCACCTCAGACCTTGAGCCCCATGCTTATAGAAATTTTCCCTTACCACCACCCCTAATATCTGCCCCAAGTTGGGGAAATTCTCCAGGCCCCACTCCTACTACCAGTTGGCTATCATTTATCATGATAGCACTATTGAATCTTACACCAAGAGCAGAGTTCACCACTGCCTGACCTACACATACCTGGGATTTCAAAAAGGTCTCCTGTCCTTGAAATTGGGAATATACCAATTCATTAAAAATTATTTCAGCCAAACTTCTGACCAGCAACTTCTTCTGCAGTGTCTGCCAAATAGAGGTTGGAATTACTGGTTCTGGGGGCAGCCATAAAACATAGGAAATGTGCCTGGCTCTGAGGTAGGAAGAACAACTAGCTCTGGATAAAATTTTCATTTGCAATCCATACTTACTTGGCTGACCCAGTCAAAGCTGAGGTTGCCTTTGAGAGTGAAGTCAAATTCTTCTTGGACACCAAAAGAGGAGATATTACATGTAATTTTGAGGCAAACTGCAATGGAACAGTCCTGGAAGGGAGGAAACAGGCAAAGCTGGGGGTGGTCAGCTTGAGGGTGGATAACAAGAAATAAAGAATGCAGATTTGTCTGATTTGAGGTATAGTGAGTATTTGCAGGCCAATATTATATTTCTATATACTGTCACAGTGATATGATTCCAACTCTGAAATTGAGAAATCCAATTGTTTCTTTATCTTTCTTTACTCCCCCCTCCTCAGTCTCCACCATGGGTAGCTGGTTCTGGGGGCAGATCCTAGGATTAATTCTCACCAGCACAGGACTTGTCTGAATTTGGGTCTGGAAATCAGAATGCCTGGGGAGTTTCCTCTCTGGGACACATGAAATGTTCTAGAGAGAGAGAGAGAGAGAGAATACCATTGGTGAAAGAGTATAATGGACACTTGGTTTGAGGGCAAAGATATATGATTACTCTGGGATGGGAGGCAAGAACCCCACCTGGGAGGAATTGACTGTGGTCACATCCCACACAATCATCCTATTTAGCTCCACAGGGACCCAGAAGTTAATGCTGCTGGGTAGATTCTGCTTACTCAGGTTGTTCACCTGCCAAAAGAAAAAATAAACCTCAATGTGACCAGTGGCAGATTCTCAATCCTTCATCCCAAATTCTTTTTCCATTTCAGTCCTTCCCAGAGCCACTTGGCTACTCTTTCCCTATTCTTCCCCACTGGCCACTGGCCTTTTTCATTCCCCAGCCAGAACCTGGAAGTTGTGTTCCCCATCCTCTCACTTGGTATCTGTGCTTGATCTCTTGGCTTTTCTTCTCCTCAGAAGCAGAGAAATTTAAGTACTTAGTGGATTCTTCCTTGCTGGAGAGAGAGGAACTATAGGTGAAAAGCAGGTCTTTGGGAAGCCCTCAATTGTTCCCCTGACTTAGTGTGTCTACATATTGGATTAACGCACAATCCCATGGGGACTAAATTGTGGATTGTGCACACAGAAACATGCAAAACGTGTTCATGCCAATATGGCACAAGAGTCCCACCACAACTTATAATGGATATTTACATAGCACTCTAAGGTTTCCAAAGCATTTTGCTACATCGTCTCACCTGAGTCTCCCAGTGATCCTGGGAAATGGGTACTAAAGAAATCATTATCCCCATTTTACAAATGAGGAAATTGAGGCTAACAAAGGTTAAGTAATTTGCCCAAAGCTAATTGTGTCCAAGGGAGGACTCTAACTCAGGATTTCCTGACAGATTTGCAGTTCAGCATTT